ATTGTTTTTTTGTTTATTATCATTATTATTATTTTATTTTATTTTTTTTTTTTTTTTTGTTTTGAATTCGAATGACCTGTGTAAATTTTACGCTATATATTTGGAAAAAAGGTATTTAAAAATATACCCTTTTTTTTTTTTTTTTTTTTTTTTTTTTTTTTTGTTGTCACTTTGCCTATGTAAATAAATACACACTTATTACTAGGGAAATTTATTTATTTCGTTTTTTAAACCTTGAGAAAAATGTAAAAAAAAAAAAAAAAATAAATAAATGATAAATTTATATGCATAAAGTGTCAGGATAAAATGGGTAAAAATTGGAAAAATTGGAAAAATCGGAAAAATTAGAAAAATTGGAAAAATTGAAAAAATAGTAAATGAGGAAAAAAATATTAAAACGGGGAAAAGTAGGAAACATGGGAAAATTGGTGTATTTCAAATATATTCGCATGTTACGATTTTACGATTTTCAAAATTTTGCACGATCAAATTTTGGCCAGCAGGAACAGGTGCAAACAAGAATGAACAAGAATGAACAAGAATGAACAAGAGTGAACAAGAGTGAACAAAAGTGAACAGGTGTGAAACATTTCCCGCATGCATGCTGCTGATGAGTTGGTTCATATGTGTTAAGATATGCATGTAAATGCGTGCACAAGTGTGAGTATGTGTTATGTGCATATATATGCTTTTTGTTTAATTTTTTTACTTAGCCCATTGATATAAATTTTTTGTTTATTATTTTGTTAAATTTTTTGCTAAGTTTTTTACCTATTCTTTTTTTTTTTTTTTTTTTTGTGCCCTATTTATTGTATCACAACCCACGAACAAACAGATACGAATGTGTAGTAGCCTCATACACATGAGCACAAATTTCATTCTCCTTATTTTGTTTCCCTTGAGTTCGTAGAATTAGAAAAACAAAAAAAAAAAAAAAAAAAAAAAAGAGGAGAGGTCTGAAATTGGAAAAGGTACACGTTACTAAATGTTATACATGTTTTTTTCCTCCCCACACTCCAGAGTAAATGTATGCGTATTCGAATTTAATATTTTAGAGTAGAAGCGTTTCAGAAAAGCCCGAATTATCAGTTTTCTTTTTTCTTTTTCCCCTCCTTTTCTTTTTCCTTTTTTTTTTTTTTTTTTTTTTCTTTTTTTTAATTTCTGCGTTCATATTCTTTTCCTTTCTTCATTCCATTCTCTCATCGTTTTTCTTATTCTTTATTCCTCCAGTTTACCCCCATTTATCAGTCACACGTAACCACCGTACGAAAATTATCAAATGGGAATTCTGCTTCAAACGTTTTATTCTTCATGTGCACATGTGATTTTGTATGCAATAAGGAAAAAAGTGTGGCAAAAAATGTGGCAAAAAAATGTGACCAAAAAATAACCACACGAAATTCCCACCTGGATCCGTGTCGAAATAAAACAAAAAAAAAAAAAAAAGGAAAAAGGGCCACTACGTGATAAGTTTTTTTTTTTTTTTTTTTTTTTTTTTTTTTTGTAAATAGAGCAAAGCAAAATAAATGGACATATGTTTTAAGGTAATGACAAATTAATTTGCACACACAGGAGGAAAGGTAGTTGCGTTCTACACGTGTGCAGACGCTTGTAGGTACCGGTTTTAATTTTGTTTTTGTGGTTATCCGTTTGACATTTTTTCCCTTTTTTCCAATTTTGCATTCGATATGTGAACTTATCATCGATATAAAAATTAATTAAAATATTTGGTTAAAGTTAGCGAAATGGAAGCATATACAAAATGATATAGTTTAAAAAAAAAAAAAAAAAAAAAAAAAAAGGTGGAAAAATGGCCAATGTGAAAAGCAGCAAAATGAATGCAAACAGTACAAAGGTGTCAAGTTATAATCCATCTTGAACGAGTAAAAAATTTTGCTATTCTTCTAAGAATGCCCTTCTGATGTATGCTACTTCAAAAATAAATTGCTGCAAGCAATTATGGACACATGGGATTAATCACCTGACATGTGAACAATAACATAACAACCATATGTCATATGTATATAAAAAATGGTTGAAAAGTACATACACACAGCAAGCACATGGTGTGTATTATGCACATGTTGATAAAGTTGAATGGGGTGGTTGTAATCTTTGATTGCTTCTTCAAATATGTACTTCCCTCCGTGGTGATAAAGGGACACAAGGAAGTTAAGTAAAATGGTAAGATATGTCCCAGTGATAAACAGAATAAAAGAATAGCACAATAGCAAAAAAAAAAAAAAAAAAAAAAAAAAAAAAAAAAAACGCTTCCAATGAGCAATTTCAAATAATGTCTTAGTTTAGAGGAAAAGGCAAATCCACACCCCACAGCGTGTAACATAGCCAGCAATACTGTGTATGTATGTATTTATGTATAGGCGTATGTATGTGCGTATGTGTGCGTTTCATATTTGTCATTGGCGTTGCATATGGGGATAGCTGTTATGGAGGAACTTTATCCTGTTCTCTCTCTCCCCTGGTCCTTATGGATGCAACATTTCTTAGTGTCAATTTTCTTCCATTCATCTTAATCACAGTTTTGCAGAAACTGAGGGAGGAGAGAATCTTTCCTTCATTGAATCATTTGCACATGATCGATCCTACACGCGCTTGAAATTATGAGAAAATTTGGCCTATAACATAATTAATGGGACTTTATTCTGCTGCTTCTTTTGATTCTAATTATTTTAGCAATATAAGGAGTGATAAGTATAGTTATTATAATTCTAACTGGTTCTGTCACTTTAGAAGCAATGTAAGCAAATATCAGTTCTCCCCATAAAGAGTCAATTTTTTTATGTAAATCATCATTTATATATTTCTTTAAGTGTGTTTTTTCTGACCAATAGGTTATGTCTGCTAATGATATGTATTTAAAATGTACAAAGAAATATGAACAACAGAAGGTTACTAAAAAAACGACAAAATATGTTCCTAAACCAATATACCCATACTTTTTAAAAAAGTTTTTAACATTAATATGTGCCAATTTAGAATTTTTTATAAATTTTTCTTGTAATTCCAATAATTTTTGTTTTCTTAATTTATATTTTTTTTTTTTCTTCATAGTATATATCCATAAGTGATTTATTTTTATTTTTTTTAAAACTTGAAAAATTTTCGTTTTTGTGTGAATAATTGCTTTTCTATATACATGTTCGTTAAAATTGTTTTTGAAATTTCCTTTTTTTATTTGATAAATAGATAAGACAGAATTTATTTTATTCTTTTCTTGTTTAATTCTTTTCATTATTATTTTATAACTATGTTTATCTTTTAATTTGTTTAATGCGTCTTTTATTTTTTTTGTCAATAGTAGAGAATGTACATTCTTGAAATAATTCCCCTTGAAAATTTTGTTCTTATTTATTACTCTGTCATTCTTGTATATTGTTTTCCTATCATATGGGGTATAATTATGTGGCACCTCATTTTTTTCTCTTTCTTTCTTTCTTTCTGTGAATTCTCTTACTTGTCTTATATTATCAGTTCCATTTTTACGTTCTTCTTTTTTATCACTGTCATTCTGTGCAGTTTTAAGTTTGTCACATTTTTCACTCTCCTCTGCATAACCACATTCATGCTTTTCCTTTTTCGAAATAGAATTAAAATTTGCACACAACTTTATCCATCTGTTTTCATTTATTGTCTCAATCAGTTGTTGTTTATACGAAACTACTGATAACTTGTTCAAATGATCATACTTATGAAAAACAGAGTTCTGAAAATAGAAAGTGTGCCAATTGTAACTTCTGTGCTTATTGTTATGTTCGTTTTTATTTCTCGCATCAAGGTATATATTTTTGCTATTCAGCAAAGACGAATAATTCGGAAGCAACCTTCCTTCACGTCCTTTTAAATGAGAGTTCCAAAATTGAAAACTATGTTTACTGAAATTTATTTTGTTGCAATAATTGGATATTCCCCCCCTTGATAAGTTTTTTATATTGACAAATGACATCCTTCTATTGTTTTTTTTTTTTTTTTTTTTTTTTTTTTTTTTTTTTTTCTGATGGTACAAAAATTTCATAAAAAGTGTTCATGCATATTTTTCTCCGAACGTAGGCGTATGAACATATGATATAGGGTTAAAGTTCACCTCTTTATTATTCTTATTTTCATCTGCCTCCTTCCCTCTCCACTCCCCCTCCACCCTTTACATGCCTATGTAAAGGGTAGAAATTGGATTTCTCTGATGGCTTGTTTTCGTTTATGTATGAATATAAGTACGTTAATGCTGCTACCATTGGGGGGTAGATAAGAGGTTACATATGTAACTTCTTACATGTGGAAACCCCTGCTATTTTTTTTTTTTTTTTTTTTTTTTTTTTTATACGTTTCTTGCTTACTCAAGCTTCATGCCATTTGGGGGGTTCCTTGCCTTTTCTTGGTCATATTCAGAACTATTTTTCTCTCCTCTGAATTTTTCCTTTTTAAGCATCAGTTCTGACGTCGTATGAATGTTGAAAAATAAAATAAAAATGAGCACATCCGTACATAGCAAATGTATGACAAGTCCTGGGAAATCACAACACCGTGATGGGGCACAAAAAATATAGTTGCCTCATTCAAGCTTTTCCATCGGATATTTTTCCTTCTGTGCAGGTGGAAAAAAAAAAAAAAAAAAAAAGGCGTTGCTTTGGTACGCTGTGCCGTGCTGTGGTATTCATTCATATGCATGCACATCCTTAATACATGCATATATTTATGGACTTCACATATGATCATCAGAGGATATGTAATTTTCTTCCTCTATTTAAGTTGCTAAAAATGGCAAAAAAAAAAAAAAAAAAAAAAAACATGTTTTTTTTTTCTAATGTTTTCTCCTTTTATTGTACCCCCTTTTTTATGCACAATACGGATTTGCATTTTTACAGACGCATTTTTCTGAACCTTGCCCCATTAACCCCCGTTGTAGAAGTAAAAAAAAAAAAAAAAAAAAAAAATTAAAAATTGGAAAAGAAGTTACACCCACCCACAATTGAAGTGTTAGCAAATTGATGAATTTGATAAAATAACAATTTCTGCCATTTGAAGGTGTGTAATCTTCAATGATTTGCAAAATGACCAACCCAGAAACAACTGATGAGATATCTTATGTTGTAATTTATCAAGCCAAAAAAGTGGAGACACGAGAAGTACAGTACATATATATGGTCTCTTTTTACATGCGAATTTTCTAACTTTTACAATTTATAAAAAAGTGAGGTCCAAAAAAAAAAAAAAAAAAATTCACAACCATTTATGTTTGTTTAAAATTTTGTGATATGAATAATACGTAGGTTATGGGTCTGTGTGCATTATATATATAAAATACTTTTTTTATATTTTAAAAAAAAAAAAGAAAAGAAAAAAAGGTGCTAACCACGGGGGGCTCGCTCATAAAGCTGTTTATTCATATGCGCATACACATGATGTCTGGCACTTGCACATCCTTTACACAAATGTATGTATGTATATATATACATATACATGTATAACACATACGTTATAACGTACAGAATATACAAAGAATGTGTTCACATAATACAAGATTACTTGGGTGCATTTCCGCACATAACACGGTGTAAAATATGGCAAACAAAAAAAAATAAATGATAATGATAATAATAATAACGAAATAATAACAAAAGCAACAACAATAATAATAATATAATAATCCATAAATAAGTAAACTAAAGGAACACCTCTAAATGCATTAAACATAAATAAATGATGTAACATCCCTTGTCTGTGCATGTAGATTATAACCATTATGGAGGGAAAAAAAAAAAAAAAACACACATGACATTACTTTTTTTACAAAAAAAAAAAAAAATCAAACGACGTAATTTAAAAACACACAAAACATCATGTATGGGAATTACCAAAAGTTCGCACTCGCGGATGAGATGGAATTTTATTTGTGAGAAATGACAGACATAATAAAAAAAAAAAAAAAAAATTCATATATGCTCAGATTATAGCATCATGCATATATATCACTGAATAAAGGTGTGCGTGGAAACGAATCGACGGTGTATAAAAATGCACACACAAACAGTATATGAAAAAATATGAACACGTACATATAATATATACAACATATTACTACGATATGCACATTTTGTTCATATTCTCTTTCGCCCCTCCTATTTCTCTCTTTTTTTTTTTTTTTTTTTGTTATGTTTCATATCCCCATAAAGTCTAATATATATATATATATATATATATATATACATGTACATATTGTGCAAACCTGATGGGGATAAGAATATATATTTAAAAAGAGAGAAACTTTTCTGTGAATGTAACTCATCCTTTTATGCCAATAAATTATTACAACGTGCTGCATCGTAATAACTCCTCCTCACCCTTTTCTTTCTTTCTTTCTTCATATCTTTTATCCCAAATCAGTTACATATTCGGTTTAACCAATCTACAAGCAAGGTAACGGTTTCACGACTATTAGGTTCCCCTGGTAGTGTGTGGCAACCGTACTTCAAAATATACACACTTAGGTTTTTAAATTGTTCCTCTTCATGTAATTCACCTCCTCCATTTGTTTTATTAAATTTTTTTAAATTGAATGATTTAAAATAGCCATGATCAAAGGAAGTCCATATATCTTTTCCCCCCTTGACATCATCTTCTGAGCTTACCAAGGAGATATAACTATCATTTTTGAATATTCTACTTGAGGATTCAAAGAATTGTATGGGTTTGAAAAAGGGAGAATCTTCTTTCCTTTCGTCATTTAATAATTCTCGTTGTTCATGTGGGTTCACGTTGTTGTTACTGCTGCAGTTGTTGCCTTTGCTCAAGGCCGAATCGTCCTTTGTAGGAGTGCACAATGGGGAGGAGATAGCAATGTCAATCATATTTCCATCCGTGTTTTCAACAACATTGGTATCTGCATTGCCATCCGGAGTAAACGGCATTGCATGGGTTAATTCAAGCCGGTTACTCATCAAGCTTTTTTCATTATCATGGGTTTGATCATCATTCCTCGGTTGTCTTGACAACGAGGGGAAAGAAGAAGCCTCGTCAATGATATATTCTGCTTCTGCTGCTGGTGGTGCTGCTGCTCCTCCCCTTCCCTTAGAGATCCATGGGCTTCGTAGGGATGTGGAACCATTGGATCCTACTGCTCCAGATTCGATGTCTTTTTTTTTTCCCTTCTCATTCATATTTTTGGAAGGAACTGAATTCCCTCGTCGAATTCTTTCTGCATCTATGATTGCTGCATTTTTTCTTCTTTCTCTCCTATTATGCAAACGCATCATTTTCCTTAAAAAATCAACTGCACCCGTGGGATCTACGAGACAGTCATTCTTTGATTGAATAACCATAATATCTACATCACTTTCTTCAATATGTTTCAAGTTTTTATATGATAAACAATTATCTGCAGCACCTACACATTCAGCTGCAATTCTTATACGAAGGGGCCCACAATATTGATGAGGATCTATTTCTGAATCGTGCTTTATCCAAGGGTACATAGCATTGCTTTCTTTTACATTAACAGGTAGAAGAGGAAAAAAATATTTCAAAAATTTGGTGGCTGATATGAGAAGTCTGTTACTAATTTTACTTTTTTGTTTCCCTAAACTAATCATAGGAGATACTAGAACTAATGATTTTACATAACATTTCCATTCTTTATTTAATCGGAAAATAGATTCTAAAGTTTTTAAAGCTATACAACCACCCATAGATAAACCCATAATAATAATTGGTTTCAATTCATTTTTTTCTTTCCATTCTTCTATAAATATTTCCAATGCTTGAATAGTATCAGATATGAAATGATCAAAGTCTTCAATGTAACAACGATAGTTTTTAAATCCTTCAGATAATCCATGAGACTGATTATCAATCCCGAAAAAGGAAAATCCGTTCTGATTAAATTTCTCTATCCAACTATTTTTATATGACAATGTTCTTACACCACAATTACAATAGTTACATATACCACACATGGAACAATAATATACATTTGCATCATAACTTACTAAAGAATCCGATTTATTTGGCAACAAAACATTTTCATCATCGATTATATCATCATCACTGTTACTACTACTGTCGTAGCTGCTGCTGTAATCACTACTATCTCCACTAGCATTATGTTCAGTCATGTAATTGTTCATACCATTTGCTCGTGCAATACTACTTCTTCCATTTTTTGGAATTCCCTTTTGCTGATAAAAACAGTTTGAGGCAGCAGTGGCAGCAGCAGCAACAGTGCTCCCGAAGCCACCATCGTTATTATCATGTGAAGGATGAGTGCAGTTTTCGCTATTTCCCAGATTAAAAATACTAGTTAAATGATTTGTGCCTTCATTTATGTTTGTAATACACGAAGAGCAAGATAAAAACATGGTTAGCTTTTTTTCTAAATTTTTTTTTTCTCTTATATCTGGCAAATTACATGATGAAGATAACTCCGATGCGTCACTATGTATCGGTTCACAATCATAAAGCATATTATTTGTTTCGTTCATATTTTTAAAATCTTTGCTGAAATTTGTCTGTAATATTTTGTTAAATGAACATCCTACACTACTTCCGTCATCTGTAATTGAATACAAAAAACTTTTTTTTTTTTTTTTTTTTTTTTCCTTTTTTTTTTTTTTTTTTTTTTTTTTTTTTCATATTTTTTTTTTTTTTTTTTTTTTTTTTTTTTTTTTTTTTTTTTTTTTTTTTTTTTTTTTTTTTTTTTTCTCAATATTTTTATTTGTTCTGCTGATATTAAGATCTCCATTTGGGTTCTCGTTAGTGTTCTCGTTAGTGTTCTCGTTAGTGTTCTCGTTAGTGTTCTCGTTAGTGTTCTCGTTAGTGTTCTCGTTAGTGTTCTCGTTAGTGTTCCTGTTCGTGTTCTCGTTCGTATTATCGTTCGTATTATCGTTCGCGTTTAGATGAGGTCCAACTTTATCCTTTTCGAGAACACTTTTCATTGCTTTCCGTTCTGTTTCATCCTCATTTATGCAGTTCGTTGTTCCCTCGTAACTTAAATGCTTGTTGAACTTTTCATTCACGTCTTTGTTTCGCTCATCGGATTCTTGTTCACAATTTTTATAGTTGCCTTCTTGAGGAACCTTTTCGATTTCTACCTTATCTTCGTTTTTTTTTATCAACACGCTAGAATCCCAACAGTTAAAATTGTTAGCAGTACTCATAAAATTATACTCAGCAGAAGTGTACTTTTTTCGTTCCTCTATCTTCTCATCTACCCATGCAGGTCTTCCCATATAATTTAAATATTCATTTCTTAGATGAGATGTTATTCCATGTAATGCAAATACATATGCCTTTGGATTTTCAACTCTCCATGCATATCTAGCTATTTTTAAATTTTCTTTATTCACAAAAAATTTAATTTCTGGGTTCCCATCATCATACATTATCATATTATGCTTACCATTGTTTTTATCTTCACTCAAGTTAGTTCTCAATTTCTCGTTACACACCTCCTTTCTCATTACCTGTGCAGCATCTGCGCTCTTGCTCTTAGGTCGTGTCACGTCAAATGGTAAATCTTGCTTCTTTGACGTGGAATTATTTTCCTCGTTGCATTTTTCTCCATCCAAGGGGGGGACAAAGCTAGAATAACATGAGTGAAAATTTGCTCTCTGATTTGGATTAGAATCTTCATTTTGGTTTCCATTTTGGTCTCCATTTTGGTTTCCATTTTGGTCTCCATTTTGGTCTCCATTTTGGTTTCCATTTTGGTCTCCATTTTGGTTTCCATTTTGGTTTCCATTTTGGTCTCCATTTTGGTCTCCGTTTTGGTCTCCGTTTTGGTTTCCATTTTGGTCTCCATTTTGGTTTCCATTTTGGTTTCCATTTTGGTCTCCGTTTTGGTCTCCGTTTTGGTTTCCATTTTGGTCTCCATTTTGGTTTCCATTTTGGTCTCCGTTTTGATCCCCGTTTACATTCTCGTCTGAGCCTCCTATGACAACTTCTTGCCGCTTCTCACTTGGGGTCGAGTGATGTGAATCCTGTCTGCTTATCCTCTCAATTAATTCGTTCCCCCCGTTTCCATTATTATTTTTGCTCATGGATAATTCTTTTCCTTTTTCAATAGTTAATTTTTTGTTGTTGTTTTCTTTTTCGATCATATCTCAATCGTCTTGGTGTTCCTTTGGTCATATTATATGACGATAAGTTTTTTTTTTTTTTTTTTTTTCAACTGTTTTTGTTTATTTATTTTTTTTTTACTCTCCTCTTTTAAAATTTTATATTAATCCAAACTGAATGTTTTGAAACTTGTGACAGTTGTTCTACGTATCCTTTTTTTTTTTTTTTTTTTTTTTTTTTTTTTTTTTTTTAAAAAAAAAAAATTTTAAAAAAAATAAAAAAGTGCAAAAAAAATAAAAAAAAAAAATAAAAAAAAAAAGAAAAAAAACTAAATGTTTTTTAATTTCAGAAGGTTTTTTTATAATACATATATAAATATAACAAATTGATTGATATAAAAAATAAAGATAATTTGATTAAACAAGATAAAGTGA